GTTGTTGTCACCCAGGCTGGAGTGCAATGGCGCGATCTTGGCTTACTGCAACCTCCACCTCCCAGGTTCAAGCGATTCTCCTGCCTCAGCCTCCGGAGTAGCTGGGACTACAGGCGCCCGCCACCATGCCCGGCTAATTTTTGTATTTTTAGTAGGGACAGAGTTTCACCATGTTGGCCAGGGTGGTTTTGAACTCCTGACCTCAGGTGATCCACCCACCTTGGCCTCCCAGAGTGCTGGGATTATAGGTGTGAACCACCGTGTCTTTCCACTCTTAACTTTCCTCATCCTTTGAGACTCAGCCTACCATTCATCTATTTTCAGAAAACTCTCGGAACCCTCTCCAGGGCTCCCATAACACTTACCATAGATTACTTGTTTCAGAGACATATAAAATAGCTTATTTCTGTACCCAAAATGCCTATTGTAAGAAAGTGAACAGAAATCTCTCGAAGTACTTATCTATGCTAAAATGAATCTAGGTTTATTTATAATTTTTTTTAATAAGTCTGCTCTATCAAGAATGCAGAAACATCAAGCCTAATGATACAGTTTGAAAAATAAAAAAGAACACAGAAACACAGCCGTCCTCTCAGCCATCTGCTTATTGCTTCCCTGGTACATGAAGCATTTATCCTCTGCCCTCACACCCCACTGATAGGGAGGGTCTGCTTTGCTCTCTTCTCCCCTGTACTTGAGGGAGATGGGAGCACGTGAGCAGCACCATGCAGAGCACTATTTGTCATTATTGCCAGTGCGGACCAAGGTGTCTCCAGGGAAAGCATGCTGATCACCACACAGACCTGGCCGAGAAGTTTCTTTTGACAGAGTGGCCAGTGGTCTGTGAGAGCCGCCTCAGCCTGGATGGAGTATGGTGTTAGCCTGGCCTGAGGGGGCTGTGTACAGGAAGGGCCAGGGTCATAGGAGGCAGAGCTACTTGAGAAGGAAGAACTCTTCATAATTTTACAGTTTCAAAAAAGTACAAGAGAAAGTTAAAATATAGTCAAGCCAAAACATAAGTCTGTCAGTCCTTTAGATTATGTGCTGTTGATAGTGGTTGTTCACAGCTTATATGTCACAGTTCTATATGCCATGTGCTTTCTTACAGTCCAACTGTTACAACCACTCTAAAAAACCTTGGGGCACTTTACAGACGTCAAGGCAAATTTGAAGCTGCAGAAACATTAGAAGAAGCTGCCATGAGGTCTCGTAAACAGGTCAGTCATACTTCTGTCCTTAACCGGTCCTTGGGAACTTTGAATTTAATGGTTCTCTTTTACATGACTTTTGTTGAAAACTTGATTTAGAAATAGAAAATGTTGATTATTTTAGTTTGAACAAATAAAGTTATATTGTTTAAAAGAGCATGAAGTGGGCACAGTGGTTCACACCTGTAATCCCAGCACTTTGGGAGGCCAACGTGGGCAGATCACCTGAGGTCAGGAGTTCGAGACCAGCCTGGCCAACATGGTGAAACCCTGTCTCTACTAAAAATATAAAAATTAGCCTGGCGTGGTGTGGCACATGCCTGTAATCCTGTAATCCCAGCTACTCGGGAGGCTGAGACAGCAGAATTGCTTGAACCTGGGAGGTGGAGGCTGCAGTGAGCCGAGATCACGCCACTGCACTCCAGCCGCCTGGGTGACAGAGTGAGACTCCGTCTCAATTGAAAAAAAACCAAAAAAAACTAAAAAAAAACAAAAAAAGAAAAAACAAAGGCGTGAGACTGGGCGCAGTGGCTCACACCTGAATCCCAGCACTTTGGGAGGCCAACGTGGGCAGATCACCTGTGGTCAGGGGTTTGAGACCAGCCTGGCTAGCATGGCAAAACCCCATCTCTACTAAAAATACAGTGCAGTGGCACAAGCCTGTAGTCCCAGCTACTTGGGAGGCTGAGGCAGGAGAGTTGCTTGAACTCAGGAGGCAGACGTTGCAGTGAGCCAAGATCACGCCACTGCACTCCAGTCTGGGCAACAGACCGAGACTCCGTCTCAAAAAGTAAATTAAAATAAAATAAAATAAAATAACATGAATATGACCCCAAAAGCGTGAACAGCAAAATAAAAACTAGGTAACTAGATCTGTTGGATTCACCAAAGTTAAAAACTATTGTGCATCTAAGGACATCATCAAGAAAGTGAAAGGGGCTGGGCGTGATGGTGAGCACCTGTAATTCCTGCACTTTGGCAGGCTGAGGTGGGGGGAATCCCTTGAGCTCAGGAGTTCGAAACCAGCCTGGGCAACATAGTGATACGATGTCTCTACAAAAAATTTTTTTAAAAATTAGCCAAGTGTGTTGGCCCATGCCTGTGGTCCCAGCTATTTGGTAGTCTGAGGTGGGAGGATCGCTTGAACCCGGGAGGTGGAGGTTACAGTGAGCTTAGATGATACCACTGCACTCCAGTCTGGGCAACAGAGAGAGATCCTGTCTCAAAGGAAAAAAAGAAAAAGAAAAAGTGAAAGGACACCCGTGCAATGGGGGAAGATATTTGCAAATGATGTATCTCATAAGGTTTTGGTATCCAGAAAAAAAGGCAACCCAATTAAAAAATGAGCACAGGATCTGAATAGACATTTTACTGAAGATGATAGACAGATGGCTAACAATCACATGAAAAGACACTCAACATCTTTAGTCATTATAGAAATAGTAACTGAAATCACAGCGAGATACTACCTCATCCCCACTAGACTGGCTATAATAAAAAAGAGAACAAATGGAAAATAACAGGTGTTGGTAAGGATGTGGAGAGGCTAGAACCCTCATGTCTTCTTGCTGGTGGGAATGTAAAATGGTGCAGGCACTGGAGAAGTTTGATGGCTTATCTAAAAGTTAAACTTAGAAAACCACATGACCCAGCCGTTCCAGTCCTAGATATAGACGCAGAATGATTGAACATGGACACACACCCTGTGCAACCCAAGCCCCATCACTGTTCCCCTAAGGGGTCCTTTGTGTTTCTCTCCAGTTTCCCGCCTCCACCCTCACCCGCTCCAAGGAACCACTGTTCCAGTTTTTTTCCCTCCAGTGATTAAGAACTGGTATTTTGTTTTCTAGCCAAGTATCTCAGAAATACTTAAGAAAATCTGAAGTGCTAATGGGTCCAACCATTTTCCCTTGCCTGGCTCACAGGGTCTTGACAATGTTCACAAACAGAGGGTGGCGGAAGTGCTCAATGACCCTGAGAACATGGAGAAGCGCAGGAGCCGTGAGAGCCTCAACGTGGACGTGGTCAAGTACGAGAGTGGCCCTGACGGAGGGGAGGAAGTGAGTATGAGCGTAGAGTGGAACGGGGTAAGTACAGTACACAGCGGGCACGTGCTCCGGGAGGCGCCCCCACGTGGCGCCTGCCAGGCCTTCCTCCTGTCTCATGTGCTAGACCTTCTGCTTTTGTCAAATTAAGTGCCAATTAAGCTTTCTGTAAGTTCTTTACTTCTGCTAATACTTAAGTCTGTTATTTGTTTAAAGTGGTAATTTTCTTCTCAGGAATCCATGAAAGCTGTTTGGCTTAACTTTGAGCACTTAAATGCTGATTGAGTGTCCTGGCTATTTAAAGCATGATCCCTATCTGGTTTCATTTTAATATCAGGATCAGTGTGGCAGGTAACTAACTCGCTTCTTTAACTCACCCATTTCATTGCTAACTCCAGTGCTCCTAACTTCACTGACCAGGCTGCTCTAGATTTTGTTAGAATGAGTTGAAATGCTTTAAAGGGAGATGCTGTGTAAGTAGAATTTGTTTTTAGAAAACAGGTCAGAACCAAGAGCTTAGGTGGCTGCTCTCTTGATGTCCTGCCTCAGTCCTGAGCGTCCTGCATTTCACCTGAGAGGGTGTCCAGATCTTTGGGGCTCTTCATGGTTGCCAGCCCCCATGTGCCTGAGAGGCTGCACAGGCCCCTCTAGGTTTTACTGGTTTGCCCCTGGAAATTCCTCACCACTGCTGTTTATCCAGTGGTTGCCAAAGACCGTGTGGCCTTCTGGACATTTTTTCTCCAGTGAATTTTTTAGCACATGGATTTTTTTTTTAATACACAAACTGGTGTCTTTGGTATTTTGCTTTTGTCAGGGAGAGTTGAAGGCGGCATTTGACTCATCTAGGGGCACAGTTGGTTTTTTGAAGTTGCCGTAGTGCAGTTTGATTAGTTATAATTCTACACATGTTCTGCCAAATTGTAGTTTTGGGCTTTCTTATAATGTAAATCCTTTTATTCTTTAAGGATTTTCTATAGCTATAGCAATTTGATAGGAGCTAGCATTCTAAATAAATATTTTATAAAAAATGTTAGTAGCAAAATTTGAGGGAGAACATTCTCTTTGACTGTCTTTATCTGGCAGCTTTCTTGCTTTGGTTTTTTTTCTGTGCCAAGACAACCAATCAGCATCAGCTTTGCCCACTCAGCCCCAGTGGGGCAGTAGTCTAAAACTGAAATCCTGGCCCGCAGGCCTCCCTGTCGCCCGCATTCTGTCAGAACTGTGTACTGTACTCTTCTCTTGGTTGCTGTCGTACCTGCATGCTTCGTATAGAAGGGAAGTCCTTTATCTAGGCTCTAGGAGCCAGGGTGCAGATTGTGATACTCTTGAATGAAGTTCTGGAGGAGGTTTCTCTTGAGACAGTATTTCTAGGTCCATGTTGACATGAAATCATCTGATGATAAAATTGTGACAATTCAGAGCTCTGTTACCATCTTAAAGATGGACTCGGAGAGGAAGGAGAATTGCTCGTGTGCACTGCAGCTGGTTCATGTGCAGGTGTCCTCGTCACGTGTCCACTGCAGCGGGTTCGAGTGCAGGTGTCCCCGTCAGGCCCGCGGGCTGGAAGTGTCGCTGCTGTGGATGAAGCAGCTGCCCCTCCGCGTGCCTGCTGATTTCCTCCCTCCACACTTCCTTTCTCACTCTGGACACCTGATTACATACACGCTTCCTTTCTCACTCTGGACACCTGATTACATAGGCCGTGCGCAGGCTGTGTTTCCAGTGTGTCCCTTTCATGAGCAATATACTTGGTAGCTCTGCAGTTTCGATGGAATTCATCCCAGGATGCGTTGGCTATGGGTGATCTACCAAAACAATCTGAGTTTTAAATTGTCCAGTGCAGTGGTTCCTAAACTCACTTTGCGCATGGAGGCAGCCCCGTCTTCAGATGGAGTCTTAGATAAAGTGAGTGAATTCACTGGGCGGGCCGGCTGAGGCTGCCTCAGAGTCTTCACAGGAAGACCTTGGGCCCCAACCCGATCTCCCCACAACTCTTAAGGTTCTGAGAAGGCAGAATGCTGAACTCGACCAACTTGTGATTTTCTTTTCTTCCTCCCGAGACAGAGTCTCGCTCTGTTGCCCAGGCTGGAGGGCAGTGGTGCTGTCTTGGCTCACTGCAACCTCTGCCTCCTGGTTCAAGCAATTCTCTTGCTTCAGCCTCCTGAGTAGCTCGAATTACAGGTGTACGCCACCATGCCTGGCTAATTGTTTTATTTTTAGTAGAGACGGGGTTTCACCATGTTAGCCAGGCTGGTCTCTTAACTCCTGACCTCGTGATCTGCCTGCCTCGGCCTCCCAAAGTGCTAGGATTATAGGCATAAACCACTGACTTATTTTTTAAAAGGTAGTGGGGGCAATATGCACACAGGTATTAATTTTTAGTCAACTTTATTGAGGGATAATTACAGACAATAAAAGGGGCCCATATTAAATGTTGTTTGATTTAGATATTAACACAGTGCAGGTCAGCACATTAGTTTGTCTTTATATGGATGTTAGAACAAAGTTTATCATGCTGTTTCTGTTTAAGTGAAGATTTCCCTGAGACTGCACAGCAAACTGTTACCACTGTAGTCACTTATTTGTGTACATCAAGATTTTTTTCAGTATTATGCAATTAAGTTAAAATAGACAAATACATCAGAGGTGTTGTGGTAAATGTTAAGGCTATACCTTGCCGGGCGCGGTGGCTCACACCTGTAATCCCAGCACTTTGGGAGGCTGAGGTGGGTGGTCAGGAGATCGAGACTATCCTGGCTAACACGGTGAAACCCCGTCTCTACTAAAAATACAAAAAATTAGCCAGGTGTGGTGGCGGGCGCCTGTGGTCCCAACTACTCGGGAGGCTGAGGCAGAAGAATGGCGTGAACCCGGGAGGCGGAGCTTACAGTGAGCTGAGATTGCGCCACTGCACTCCAGCCTGGGTGACAGAGCAAGATTCCGTCTCAAAAAAAAAAAAAGACTATACCTGTGGGCGGGTGCCGTGGCTCATGCCTGTAATCCCACCACTTTGGGAGGCCAGGGCTGGTGGATCGCTTGAGGTCAGTAGTTTGAGACCAGCCTGGCCAACATGGGGAGACTCTGTCTCTACTAAAAATGCAAAAATTAGCCAGGCATGGTAGCAGGCGCCTGTAATCCCAGCTACTTGGGAGGCTGAGGCAGGGGAATTGAACCCTGGAGGCAGAGGTTGCAGTGAGCCGAGATCGCGCCACTGCACTCCAGCCTGGGTGACAGAGCAAGACTGTCTCAAAAAAACAACTATCCCTGTTACCTGTAACTTCAGATTTCAAATTTTTGGATTTTATAAAGGTAGCTTTATTGTTCTTGTTTCATTTATTAGAATAACTTGTTATATATTTATAGTGAGAAAATGTGATTTCAATTTTATTTATATATATATATTTTTATATATATATATGTGTGTGTATATATATATTTTTATATATATATATGTATGTATATATATATATTTGAGACAGAGGTCACCCAGGCTGGAGTTAAGTGACGCAATCTCCGCTCACTGCTTTCCGGGTTCCGGCGATTCTCCTGCATCAGCCTAAAAGGCATTTTAATGCTTTTTAAAAGGTTGAAAACTACTACCATAGGGAAAAACATTGTGCTCCCTGTTGGGAAGTCATAGCTTCAGCAGAAGTGACTGCCAGGAATGAATGTGACAGCTTTTGATTAAGTTATAATAACCACATACACCAGATATTGGGCTCAGTTTTTCAAAATATTCATAAGTAACATTTAAAACAGAGTTATGTGGTCAAAGAAAGGACAAACTGATTAATGATAATCGTCCCCTGTGGGTCCTGGGCGTTGGTGTCACACAGAACTGAGAAGGAAAGCAGGTGGTGACAGATGCTGGTAATGTGCAGGGAGTGTCTGGATCGAGGTCTCGACCTGGTGGGTGGTTTGTCCAGGGAAGGACAGTTCTCTCCTTTAGGTACACACTGTAGGGACTGTGATTAAACTACTTGACAGCAGTACTTCTGTGACCTCGTTTCGTGTGACACATGCAGATCTGGAAGCCGCTGTCACTGTGAGCCTCAGTTGGCTCTCTCTCATGGTCTTGCCTCTGAAAGTGCAGCTGCTTTGTGCACACAAATCCTTTTCTGGATAAAACTGGTCCTCTTACAACTGCTGTCCGTGTGGCTTCATGTTCATGGTGTGATGTGCATGTGTCAGCCACTAGCACCAGGTCCCTGTTGGAATGTGGGAGTCCCTCGGGCTGTTTCATCATTACCCAGTTGTCT